GTGGGAAGCCTGAGAGTTAGGAGGAAGGTTTGCAAAAAGATAAGTTAGAAGCAGGAGGCAAAAATGGGGGTGGATGCATGAAGAGAGGGGCCATGCTGTGGAAAATGAGGGCTAAAGTTTGTGAGAGGGAAGCAGGGGTGGGGGCGAGCTAGAGGTTGGGACAAAAGGGCACCTTGGTCTTATACAGGGACAGGAAGACAGGCAACTAGGGAACAGGGAGGATCAAGATGCCCCACTTGTCTAATGGGCATTTCTCTGACCTCATTTCCCCCATGTACTGCCTCTATAAGGGGCAGAAAAGGAGACTTCTGCCACAGAGGACAAATATCTAGGTGAACGCCTCTCCTGTTCTCTTACCCCTGCAGATCTCACTATTGGGGTATAGCTTGATCAGGTAAAGGCCATGGGTGAGCGGAGCCTGCAGATGAATGAATCTGTCATATGGTCTGGGGCACGGGTGTATGCACCTAGCTCAGATGCTCAGGGCTTGCAGGTGTGATGTTTCTGGCTAACAACACAGCTGCCACAGTATGTGGTTGTGGCCAGATGACCATTTTGCTCCCTGTGACTGAGAGCAAGGCATTCTTCGGCTCTTGCGTGGGTGTCCCCGTGTGTGTCCGTGTGTTTGGGTGTGTGTGTGTGTCTGTTTTTTTCCTGGCTTTGATAGTCAGATGAAGTCAGTGTCTTGGACAGAATTGGGCTTAGCTTCCTTCCTCTGCCTTGGCTTGAAGCCCCACAGCCAAGGGTAGGTAACAGCTCCCTTATGATCTCTGGATTAGAATGTGGGGGTGGGGGGGTCATATGTCCTAGTCTTATTCTTTAGTGTATGGTCACCCTGTCCTGCTATGGTGCTGCAGGATAATGCACTATACCACAAGGTCATTTTGAACCAGAAGGTCGGCTGTTCAAGCCCACTAACTGTTCCTTGAGAACCTATATAGGGTCACTATGGGTCGGAGTCCACTCAACAGCACTTAGCAACATGGTCACCCTAAATATACTTGGCTCAGAGTGTGACCAGGAGACCCTGGAGCAAAGCAAACGCTGGAACTATGCCCCTAGGGTGTCTTCAAAGTCTGTGGCTGGAGACTAGATGCCAGAGAGGGAGCTTGGTGGACTTAATTCCAGGTTCTGAGACAAACATGGTCTAAAATGACTCACTCTCTGGATTTCAAGCTCTTGTAGGAGCTCATGTTATATACGTGTATGTCTCAGAAAGCACCAGGTCTTGCATAGAGTAGATGCACTTGCCAATACTGAGTTGTGAAACCACAGGACGAGAAGGATGGGGAGAATGTCTGGTAGGGAGCCACAGGCGTAGAGGCAGGGAAGCCCAGTGGTCAGAGCTGGGTAGCCCCCCACTGCCGTGTCCTTGACGGAGGACAGGAAGGTCAGGGAGTTGTTGAGAATTGTCTGTGTGTACTGGCTGTTCTGACGCCTCAGTCCAAGTGTCTGTAGCTCCGAGTTTCCATCCATGCATGATCTTCCAGGTTCCTGTCCTGACCTCAGGAGTATAGGGATAAAAGGTAGAGAAAAGAAAGGGAAGGAGGAAAGGAAGACATGGAATCTAGGGGCAATTCAGGGCAAAGGGCCCGAAGGACAGAGAGAGGGGAATGAGGAGAGGCCAAGGGCTGAGATCCAAGGAAGCTATCCCAGAGAGGGGAAAGAAAAAACATCAGTACTGGGCTTCTGTTTACAAAGCACTTTCCTTCACAGTGCAGCATTTTATAGCCTCCACTTTGTGGCTGAGGAAACGGACTTTTGGACCTTAAGCGACTTGTCCAAGGGGCTTTGCTAGGAGTGGTGAAGGTGGGCCTCAACCAGATTTTCTGATTCCAGTCCCTGGGTTCTTTCCCGTCACCCAACAATGGCCCTGGGAAAGGACTGGATTGAAGACTTGGGGCAGAAATAAATGAAGTAGCTTCGTGAGGGGCTTGTTTAGGGAGGAAGGGTGGAGAAATCTGCATTTTTGAAACTGCTTTCTGCATCCAGTCATTACACAGATTCACTTAGAAGAAGTTGCCAAGTATAAGGCAGGGGTCAACATGCCATTATTGAGAACTGAGGAGGGGTGTGAGGAAGGGGAACATAAGAAGGAAGGACTGAGATTGAGACCAAAGATGGAAGAAAACGAAGAGACCAAGACTGAAAGGGGGCAAGAAGGTCACAGAAGAAAGGATTTAGATCCTTAAGACTTCTTTTGCCTGGAGACATGGGTGTGGGGAAAAGGGAGGAGGGAGGACATTTCTATCTCGTGACAAAAGAAAGTCACACAATTGTTTTGTTTTCTGCTCTGGGGCGGGTGGGCGCCTGTATTTACCAGAGGGACCAACGTCGCTGTGGCAACCACACATCTGGGCCCCGGAATCCAGATGTGCTGTATCCAGAAGCCATAGCAGAACGATGAGGCAAACACTAGGCTCCCCAGTCCTGGCCCCCACAGCTGGGAAGAGGACAGAGGATTAGAATGGGGAAATAAGGGGGGGGGGGAGAGGACTGGAGTGAGGGAGAAGAGAGGAAGTAATGGTGAGGGACAAGGAATGTGGCATGAAAAAGGGAGGAAGCAAGTCCAGGGTCAGCAGCAGAGTATGTGAAGACCAAAAGAAAAAAGAGAAAGGGAGAAATACGAAACCAATAAAATAAACAAACCAAACTCATTGCTGTCAATTCCAACTCATAGCGATCCTGTAGGCAGACTAGAACTGCCCACTGTTTCCAAGACTGTAAATCTTTTATGGAAGCAGACTGCCACAGCGTTCTCCTTCGAAGTGGCTGGTGGGTTTGAACAGCTGGCCTCTTGGTTACAAGCATTACAACCACTGTGACATGAGGGTTCCTTGAACAAAGAATCAAGGGTTCAAAAGAGATGATAACTATGGTGGGGGTGGAGGACAAAAGGCAGGAAAGAAATCTAGAGAATAGAGAAGAGGAAGGGAAGGAAGGGAAGGACAATGGGGTCAGGGATAACAGAGAAACTAAAGGTGGGAACCCTAAGTCAGAAAGCAGGAGTTGGTGGCACAAGAACAGGACAGAAATGAAGAGCCCAGGTCAGGAAGAGAAGGATGTGGGACAGGACAGTGGTCTGGCATGCTGATGTCGCCTTAGACAAGATGTGTGTGGAGAGCCACATGGGCCTAGAGCCCAAAGCTCGACCTGACTTCCCACCATGGTATGTATACCCACTCACCTTGTCTCCTTCCCACCACCCTACTCCCTCAACCAAGACAGGCCTGCCTCCTAATTTACACCCAAGCGCCAGCTGCCCCTTGCCCCACAGCAGAGGCATAACCCACCAAACCCTGGAGCAGCATTTTTTTGAGCTGATGTCAAGGAGAAAGAAATGGGACCTAGAAGGGATCAGAGCAAGAGAGCCAGAAATGACACTGAATGGGGAAAGGAACAACCCATCAGGAAAAGATGTGTCAACTCTGGAACAGGCACCAAGAGCATCCTGTTTATCCTATTTGCCCTAAGTAGGTCGGAGCTTACCATTTTACAGATGAGGAAACTAAGGCTCAGAGTGTTTATTATATATTAACTAATAAAAGGCAAGGCAGGGAATCCAACTCAGGTGGTCTGTCTCCCTTGTTCTTGTATTACACTGCCTAGAGAAGGCTGGGCTCAGCTCTGGGACCCTGGGACCAGCAGTCAGGGCTGAGCTGCCAGGGTTGCACTCTGGAGGGAGAAGAGGCCTAGTTCCTGGGAGCCCCAGTTCCAGGTTGCTATAGTGACTCAGTCTGTTTTCACCCCAAACACAGTAATGGGCTGGGGGAGCCTGGCTGGACACGTGAGGTCCTTCCCTCCTCCACGCTGGGCTTGTGGCCCAGGCGGCCTCTGTCCAGTCATCTGGGCGCTGAGCCCAGGTCCAGCCAACACCCTTCAGCTGACCTGGGACACTCCTGCAGGGTCAAGCCTGAGGCACTGTTGGCCAGGCACCCCCGCAGGTTGGGACTGAGACTTGGCCCCTACCCCTTTTCCTGCTCCTGGTCCCCCTAATCCAAATGCACAGCCTGCTCTGCTAGACCTGCTCATGGCCTTCCCTGTCACCTGGATTCTCAAGTCTGTCTCCTCTAGCGTGGGGTTAAGAAGGTATCCCCCCAAATCGCCCTACCCTCCCAAGTACCACCCCCTTCTCCACTGTGGCCCACCTTCCTGGGCTCAAGGCCCTCTGGCCCTCGCTCATATTGTTTGCTTTAGCTGGCTGCCCTGGAAAGTAAGGGAAGGGAAGGAGGGAAGCCTCCAGCACAGGGGACCCAGAGAGGCTGTTCACCCCGAAGGGGAAGGGCGTGGGGTCCCCTGTCCTTCCTGTTTACTCAGACACATTCCAGAGATCTGTATCTTCTGGTCTGTCACACCATGAGACAGCCCAGCCCCCGCTAGACATAGACATACCCATGTTATGGGGTGGGGGCAAGGAGATGACATGAGGTCTGTGATCCCACACTTGCTGTCCTCCCAAGCCAGCTGTGTCTCAGTACTTGGTTCTTTGATGCTGGTCCCCACCCCGCAAACTCCCAGTCTGAGTCAGGAAGGCAGCCACCATTCCTTCAACTCACTCCAAGTTGTTTATTTCATAATAAAAAAGAAGATAAGCAGACACACAAATCTGATTTCCCCCCACCACTCCTCTGTTATGCCCAGTAACTAGCTCTGAAATGCAAAACTTCCCTTGTCCCACCTGGGGAACGAATTCCCGGACCTCCAAAAGACAGACAAAAGAATAATCAGTATGTAGGAGCCCACCCCCAAATTTAAGCTTGCTTAATGCCCTCAAAGGTGGAAGCAGGGAGTGAGGGTCCATAGACATGAGAGGAATCCTATATTCTGAAAAGGGGTGAGGGAAGTGGATCCTCTCACCTCCAAATAAGTGCTTGACCCTCACACCCTGTCTTTCCATGACGGATTGCCCCAAGCCCAGGGAGCAGGGAAATGAGCAATACTCCAGCTTAGTCACCCCTAGCCCCCAGTCCCCAAGTCGAAGTCAATGTGAGTTGCTGAGGTCAGGGGTGATTGAGGTAGAGGGGTTGGTGGGAGGCCTGGTGGGCCTGGCTGGCTGCAGGAGCTGGCAAGGGGCCCCTCGTGGCATTGCCAGGGGTTGGGACCGGCTGCTTTCGGAGTGAGGGGGGCACTGTGGACGTCTTGATGTGAATCACCCTGGTGTCCATGACCTCGCACTCGATCTGCATCATCTCCTCATAGTCCCCTGAGGGCCCCCGGCCTGACAGGGTCTCTGTGAGAAGAGGAAAGTGATGGGAGAGGCGGAGGGGGAGGCCCACAGAGGAGCCAGGAAAGTGAGGTGAGCAGGGGAGAAAGAATGGCGCGGACAGAGTTCAGGGTGTTGAGAAGGCAGGTATAGGAAAAGAAAGTGACATCGATGAGTGCAGTCATATAAGTGAGGAAGCCAAGAGAATAAAAGGAAGTGAGGATTTGGCAACTTCCAGTCTGCCCACCTCTGCCCACATACCCAAGAACCCTGGCTGAAGGAAGACCTTAGTCTTCCTCCCATCTAAGTCTCCTGGACTTTGTTTTTCTCTCCATCTATTTCCTGCTGCTTCTCACCTCTCTGGGATGTTCCTTTCCTCTCCCCAGTTCCCTCCTCAGCTCCCCATGCTGGATCTCCTCCTTCCTTTACTCTCCCACACTCTGTAGGGAATGAATTACCATTGGGGGCCATGGCAGGCATCACCAGGGACATCTTAGGTCGGGAGGTCTTATTGTGGCTGATGGCTGGGAGCAGCAAATGGTCCTGGAAAGTAGAGGGGCCAGGTCTGGAAGGTGGAAGAAAAGACAGCCCCATTCTACACCCTCCCCATGAAGACAGACTGTGGGCAGCCCAGGGGGATGGAGATGGGGCAGGACGAAGACTTACCCTTCGGAAGGAGACAACATAAAACGTGTCTTCCCGTCGGTCAATTGCATCCAGGAACTCCGGTTGGGAACGGTCTGGGTGGCGATAAAGCTGCAGTTGGCCCACAGAACCCCTATGCAGGTGAGAAACAGAATTCAGGAGGGTGTAAGCCCAGGGCTGCTCCTCAGAAACCCTAAACAGGGTCACTATGGGTCAGAACCAACTCAATGGCACTTAACAACAAGCCCAGGGCTCACTAAAGACAGAGGGGAAGAAAAGGAGAGAAAAATAACCATGGGGAGCATGGGCCGCTCCTGGGGGTATAGCTCTTTAGAGTGGAGGCTCCTCACTCAATCAATAAGCACCTCCTTCCTGTACTCACCATTCTGGAGGCCTTGGGGCTCTGGTGGGGACCGCCTTAACTGGAGGCGAATTCTTCCATAGCTGAGACTTCTGGAAGGAGAGGTATCTAAGGATTTGGATAGGGTGAAGGGAAAAGGGAAAGAGATAGACGGACCCTAGAAGCTGATGCCACCTCACACCCATCCTTCCATTTCTCCCTCCACAAGATACCCGTTCAAAATCCCCAGGACGTTTAGCCCTTGTCTTCATGTGGTCAATCTTGAACCAGACCCATCCTTCCTACCTGTCTCTCCTGAGCCCTCTGAGGGAACTTCCGCCGACCTCTCTGGTGGCGCTGGACCCAGCCACTCAACTCATCTGCAAGCCTGGGGAGGCAGGAGGGTTAATGCCGCCAGGCCAGGCCAAGACTCCCACTTTCCATGCCCTCATACAGGGGTGGGACAAGAGGACAAGGAGCGTTAGTGCTTCACCACACAAGGCCATCCACGGAGGGGTTCCAGGGAGGGAGATATGGAGGGAGACAAGGAGGAAGCTCTCAGCCCTAGCCATAAATCCCCCACACCTCAGGGATTCAGTTCGGTTAAAGTGGCGGCAATCAGAGGAGAGGAAGAGCTGGTTCAAGTCTCTCAGTAGCAGGTCCTTGGAGCTCCCAGGGAAGGCTGTTAGGTTCCTGGTGTGAAGCCAGAGGAGACAGCTATCAGAGACTGTCAACACTTCCCCACTGACAGAGAAGGAAGCAATGACAGTGGGAAAACAGATCCGGCTCTCCCCAGAAAGGGCAGTTTGGGTGAAGAAGACTCACTCAGCACCCCTAAACAAGAGGGGCACTTTCCTTCTCTTCTCATTCTTTCTCTTCTCACCTGAAACTGGGTCGGCCTACAGGGCTGGCCTGAGACTCCTCAGGCCCCTGGGAGGAGCCCTGGAGGGGTGTGACCCCATGAACCGGCTCTTGCTCGGAGAACTCCAGTAGGTGCCTCCGGGGTTGAGATTCCTCCCTGCTTCCTCGAGGAGAAACTGGAGCCGATGGAGGTTCACTGATGCTGTGGATGAGGAAGGACAGGATGAAGAGGAATCAGTGTCTGGGTCAGAACAAGGGCTCTACAGACAGACTGCCTGGGCCCCAATCTGCTCTACAAGCTTCTCTTTACCTGTAACATGGGAATGAGAATAGTAGCTGCCCTCATAGGATCAGGAAACATGAGAAAAAGGACAGCACTTCAGTTAAAGCCTACAATTCAGTAAGCACTCAACAGCCACCATTTTTATATTACTATTTATGATAGAGTCCTGGAGTGGGGCTGACAGTTCAAATCCCTCACCTACTCCTTGGACACCCTATACAGGGTCGCTAGGAGTTGGAACCGACTTGACGCCATTTCACAATGACATTTATGAGGGAAATGATGGAGTGAGGGGATGGGTTGGAAATACCAAGGCCACCACAATGCTCTGTGAGTGGATTGAGACTCACCAAAGGGGGCAAACCAGCAGCTGCGACGGGGTACTCTACTACAGAAGGTTCTGGGGTGGCGGGGAGAATCTCACCTGACAGGCCCGAAGTTAAAGGCAATGAAGAGAAGGAACACCATGATGCAGACCACTTTCCTGTTTCCAGACCCTAACTTAAGCTCGCTGTTCTAAGGTGCAGAAGAGACAGAAAGACTGGTGAGGCATCCCAGAGAGCCTATGTTTCCAGTAGCCCCTGCGTCGACAAACCAGCCGTACCTTAGTCAGCAAGGCTTCGAGCTGCCGACGGAGGGCAGCATTCTCCCGGCGTAGCTGCTGGTTGTCCGTTAGCACTGCCTGCAACCTCGCCTCCAGCCCCTGCAAATACTCTTTCTTTTTCCGGCGAGACTGGCAGGCAGACTCCCGGTTCTTAATCATCCGCTGCTGCCGCTTCAGCAACTTTGCCTAGGCACCGGGAGGGTCCAAAAGAGAATGAACGATAGGTGGAGAAGGGAAACATGCCCTCAAAACCAGGGACTACTTCCCCAAAGCTAACACAGCCCTTCCATTGCCTTACCAAGCCCTACCTACACAGCCAGAGGGGGTTTTCCTCTCTACTAAAGGGGGTCTTTCTCTCAACCATTTCCTGCTCCTGTTCCTCAGAGCTGAGAGACTTCCACCATCCTGCTGGAAATGTGGTTCCTTTCCTTGGCAGGACTGCTCCTCAGTCCTTGCTATAATGAATGAGCCCTTTATCCAGGTTCCCCTAGGAAACAGCCTCTCCTGCCCCAACAATGACTAGGACCGTACAGTGTGACTTTCCTGCTTTTGTTTTACTGAGGACCACCCCCATTTCTCCCTCTGCAGTGATGACAAACCTAAGGCCCCTAAAACCTCACAGGGTTAATATTCATATATAAATAGGGGTCTACTCTGACCCCTAGCGTAGTGGTTATGAATTGGGCTGCTAACCTCAAGGTTGGCAGTTCGAAACTACCCGCTGTTCCGTGGGAGAAAGATGAGGCTTTCTGCTCCTGTAAAGATTTGCAGCCTCGGAAACCCTGTGCAGGGTCACTATGAGTCAGAACCCGACTCCATGGTACTTAACAACAACAACTCTGATGCCTAGGATCATCTTAGAGGTCTACTTCCTCACTTCTCAGCTCCTTTTTCCACAGTTATCTTTCATGACAGACCTCCCTCTTCTATGAACTCTAGTCTTCTCTTCCCCAATAGTTACATCCACTTCAGGTGGGCAGGAGTTCCCAGGCATTGGAGCTGGAACGATGCTCTTCCTCTCAGGCCTTGGAAGAGGGGGTGTCGACCCCTCCGGCTGGACTCGAATCGCACTCTGAATAAGGACAACTGGGGACACTGGAGCGGCAGAGCAGAAGAGAGAAGTCAGAGAGACCTGAGTGAGGCCGGGCTCTTACAGCACATCCCTACCTGAGTACCCAGGACTATACAGGCTGCAAAAACCAAGAGCTCCTTGAGATGGCCTCTCTCCTTTTTTTTTTTCTCTTAAAGCTTACTATGAATTAGGCGAAGGTTTACAGAGCAGATCATCAGTTTTAAATGAAAAATTCATACACATTTTGTTCCATCTCATTAATTGAAACCCCCTCAATCAATGTAACGTCACTCATCCCACTTGTTCCTGTGTTGTTTCCATTCTTCCTTCTTTCTCAGCCCTTCTGAATTTGTTCTTAGGGAAGTGCTGCCCTTTTGTCCTTGAAGGCTGACCATTCTATGTTGTACACACTTCACTTGTGGTGTTTCTGCTACAAGCCTATCTACTGCTTTCTCTCCTTCTTCAGTACCTGGGGGCGGCTGGACGAGGTGTTGAAGAAGGACGGTGGTGCTAGGAGGCACAGCTCTGGGAGGCAGTGGGACAGTGGTCAGCATCACGGGTTTGGGCTGCAGTGCTGGCTTCCGTGTGGGCAGGGCTTTCCCTGCAGGAAAGTGGGAGGAGAGAAGATAGATGAGGACTACAGGCCTCTTGTGAGGGACCCTAGGTGTCAGGAGGCCCATTACCTGAGGAACCATCAGGGGACGGACCCATGCTGATCTGGATAGCTCCAAATGAGGGGGTAGGGGCATCTGGCAGGAGGCACCCTGGAGGGGTTGGGGACTCTGTCTTCACTTCTAGTACCTCCTCTCCTATGAGGGCCTATGTGGGGCATTCCGGAGAGATATTAGTCAGGAGTGCCAAGGAGAGAAAGCTAAGAAAGCTCTTATACCATTGAAAGTCAGAGGAGCTCACCAGAATGCCTGGGGAGAGGAAGGGAAGTTGATGCTCACCTGGCTGGGGGACTCTGCTGAAAGCAGGGAAGCCTCAGAGTTGATGGAGGAAGAAGGAGAAACAGGTTCTATTTTGGTCTGTACATCTGTGGGTGGGGGATAGCAGCATGAAACAAACAACTGGGTATCAGATCAATGCTGAAGGGGAAGAAGGTTATGAGGAGGAAACAAAAGACACATTCATTTCTTCTCCTTAAATGACTCCCTGCTACGAGCCCCACTCTTCTCCATCCCAGTCCTTACAATCACTTCAGGTAGGCAGGAGTTCAAATCCCCATAATAAGACTATTTAGGCCAGAGCAGGCAATCCAGGAGGAAGAAGAGACACGGAGCTGCTACTGAGCTGGCACTCCTCCGACCTCTTTGCCTGACTTTTCCTTTCTCCTTCAATGGCTTTTCTGATTTTTCTTGCATTGCTCAATATTCCTCAAGCTGTCTTAGCCTTCTGCTCGCCCCTCTCTCCCTCAGAGATCTAGTCCAGTCATACAGGATTGAGAAGGGGCGTATCTACATTCAAACAGGCCCAAATTCCTATCTTGCTGGGTTTCTACCTCATCTCATCTATTAGAGATTGAGTTTGCTGTTGTTAGGTACCATTGAGTCAGTAGTGACTCATATCCCCCTAAGAGACATGTTGAAGTCCTAACCCCTTAATCCAGTGTATGTGACCTTATGTGATGACATGGGGTTTTTCATTTGTTACCAGTTGGGTCAAGAGAAGCCTGAGAGGAGTAGGGTGAGTCTTAGTCCTAATTCCTTCTGAGTGGTGTCTCCTAAGAAGAGAGTGACAGACGGGGGGAAATACAGATGCCATGTGACAAGAAGCAGATACATCTATAAGCAGTAGAGGAATGAAGGATTACCACAGCCCCCAGAAACTACAAGAAAGGTGCACAGGAGTCGAAACAATAGAGACCCTGACTTGATCTTTTCACCTTCAGAACTGTGAAAAAGTCAGTTTCTAATCTTTAAAGGCACCCACTGTAGTACCTGTTAGACAGTCCTGGGATGCCATGACGCTATCCCACATTATTATCAGCCCTGCCATTCCTGACCGCCCATCTCACTATTCATGCCAACTCAGCTGGCCTTAAACACGATCACACAGCCAGCCTGCTAACTTAAGGCAGCCTCCCTGCCACCTCTGAACCTGCATGTTCTCTGTTCAGAATATCCTGAAGACTTGTTGATTGCCTCAGGAAAACCAATGTTAGGCCCCACACGTTGGTAAAGCAAAACCCATGTGAGCTAGATGCAGCCAAAATGTCACCAGTCAGTCACCTCGGGTCCATAGCACTCATTTTGGTACTTAGTTGCATGGTCAACTAACATTGCTACTTTATAATTGCAACTCAATTTATATTTTTGAATAGATAATACAAAATTCCAAAGGTACAAAAAGGAATTCAGTGAAAACTGAATCTCCTCTTCCCTGTCCGCACCCACCTATGACCCTCCTGAGGTGACCACTATTAGAACTATTTGGCCAGGTGTTATAACCCTCACAAGAGTCTCTAAGAGCAATGAATATGTCTTATGTTTCATGTCTAACAAAGTGATAAATACAGACCCTCAAAAAATACCGAAATTATTTTTGTTGCTGTTAGTACTGTCGAGTTGATTCTGACTCACAGGGACCCCATGTGTTACAGAAGAACTTCTCCACAGGGTTTTCTTGGCTGTAATCTTAATGAAAGCAGATCACCAGGCCTTTTCTTCTACAGTACAACTGGGTGATTCCAAATGACCAGTCTTTAGGTTAGCAGTCAAGTATAAACCATTTATGCCACCTAGAGACCTTACCTAAATACCAGGCGAGGAGCCGACACCGACACCAACACTACCACCCTTCGCAAAGTCACCAAGGACCTTTCTACTGCTAAAGGTTTTTATCCTTATTTTGTAAGTCTTCTTTATAACACTTAGTAATGCACTGGAGAGTAGCTGGCTGCCTCTCCAAATAAGCTCTCCATCCTTTCTTGCCCTGTTCTGTAGTCCAGAAAGAAAATCTGAATGGATGCATCAATAGGCTCCCTTGCCCTCTAAGCTCCTGGCTGGAGTTCAACCAACAGGAGATGTAACAGAGGGCATGAGAGGGGGTAAGGTTAAGTTTCCACTTACCAATCTGAGTGTGCCACCTTTTCCTGCCAATCTCAACTGATACCAATGATTACAAATTGAGGACTAACTCTTAGCAGCCCCTATATTCATTCCCCCTCTATCTCTACATATATGTGTATGTATACATATATATATCTGGTGTGGTGCTGTGGGTTAATGCGCCAGACTGCAAAGCTGTTTGAACTGCAAGGTCGATGGTTGAAGTTCACTAGCTACTTCTCAGAAACCCTATACAGGGTCTCTATGGGTTGGAATCGACTCAACAGCACTTAACAACAACAACACACACATAGAGGGAGCATCAAAAAGTACATAGAAAAGTAGAAGTAAAAGACAATGGATCCTTACAGCAAGGATCATTCCCACCTCCTCCATCTACAGAGTAGACAGGGATGGACAACTTGGACATTGGCTACCCAAAATGGGAGCGTTACAAAGACAAGAAGTGACTGGCTTACAAGCTTTCAATAGGGAACCTAGTTCTAGAGGGTACAGGGAAAGGTAGACTCTCCACTGAGTGGTTTCCAACCTGTCTGGACAGGGCTGATGAAAGGTGATGCGGATAGGACTCTTGTGGTTCAACAGCGAATGACTGCTATCAGGACTGACAGCGAGTATTAGAAACGTAAAGGTAGACGTTTTGTAACTAAAGGAAGTGGTTGATTTTTCAGTCCAGTAGTGGAGGTCCCTGGAACCATCAGGGAGAAAAGCAAAGTGCGGGACTCTATCCAGAGAAGCAGTGAAACCAGGGATGGAGGCCGAGATGATGATGTGGAGAGATGCAGAAGCTGCAAACTCTAGACTCAGGGATGGAGACAGGCTGTGTGCTGCCGGCCAGGGGCAGGCATGCAAGGTGTACCTTTGATGATGCATGCAGGGGATTCTAATCATTGCAATGAAACGAAATACAATAGGATGAATGTAAAGATAATGTTTTCCCATGTAAACTACCACATAACTGACAATAAAAAATAAAAAAAAAAAAAAGATAATGGAACTTTTTGAAGCCCCCACGTACTAAGTTTATATATCCTCACAAAGCTAACAATAATAATTATTATCCCCATTTTTATAATTGAGAAAACAGAGTTCTCAGAGAAGTTAAGTAACTTGTCCCAAATCACATAGCTACTAAGTAATGGAGCCAAGATTTGAACCACAGCCAACATTCTTAACCATTTGCTAGCTTGCCTTTACCATGTGATAATTGATGCTGATCACACCTCCCTTTCTGGACACCTCTACTCAATCCATCTCCAAGATACCATACTCTTCTTTTCCAACTATTTTAGTTCCTTGGTTTCAGGGTGCTTAACTTTATGGAGAAGCTCTGGTAACACAATGGATTATGAGTTAGACTGCTAACCAACAAGGTCAGCAGTTTGAATCTACCAGTTGCTCCGTGGGAGAAAGGTGAGGCATTCTGCTCTCATAAAGATTTACAGCCTCAGAAACTCTGTACAGGGTCGCTATGAGTCTGAACCAGCTCAACGGCATATAACCATCACCATCTTTATGGAAACATGAAGTTTTCCTTGAGGAAACCCTACAAGGAAGTTCTAAGGGTCCCTGGTGGTACCATGGGTTAAGCATTGGCTACTAACCACAAGGGTAGCGGTTCAAGCCCACCAGTCACTCCTCTGGAAAAAGTTGAGGCTTTATGCTCCCATAAAAATTATTTACAGACTCAGAAACCCCTACAGACTGACTGTGAGTCACAATCGATTTGACTGCAGTGGGTTGTGGGGACAGTTCTACTCTGTCCTGTCAGGTTACTAATGAGTCAACATTGATTTAACAGCAATAGGAATGTTCTATTGCCACTTTGAAATCAAGATTGAACAAGTTCAATATCGACTGCATCATCCTCCCTAACAAGAACATTCCTGTTCCTACAGTCTACCCAGCCCAGCAATCCTGGCATCCTCTTTGACTCCCACCTTTCTCCAACACCCAAGGGATCCCTGAATCACATCCGCTCTCCTTCATTCTTTCTCAAATCTGCCTTCTCCTCGGCATCTAAATATTTTTCTCCATTTACTACATGAGCTTATTCCTTGGTCATCCTGCCACCAGTCCTGCCTCTCTGCAATCCACTGTCTCCTCTGCTACCAGTCATCCTCCCAATCACCATTCTCCTGCTTGATTATTCAAAGGTTTCCAATTGCCCACAGATTAAAAGCTGAGTCTTTAGCATGGCAAAGAAGTCCCCTCCTCTACCTACAGTCTCTGTAGCTTCTCCTCACCCACACACTTCACATCCACTTTAAAGGGGTGCAGGTCTCTACACACACACACACACACACACACACACACACACACAAGCACGCACACATGCACGCACTCACACACAGAGCCAGTCCTCACATTTGTCTTCTGATTTCTATGCATCCTTCAAAACTCAGTTCAGAAGCCTTTCCTTCAGGAGCAGGTTCCCGATCCAGCTCCTATCCATGTGAGATGCCTCCCTGATATGGACTGAATTGTGCCCCTGCCCACATATGTGTTGGAATTGTAACTTGCACACATACAGATGCAATCCTACTTAAAGACAGGGTTTTCTTTGGTGTGCTTATGAGATGATACCATCCTAAACCTAAGGAGCAGCACAGACACAGGGAGAAGCAAGCACAAGCAAGGGAAGAGAGAAGCCACGCCACGTGACTATCATAAGGGAACTGAGGAATGATGGAAGAGACAAGGATTTGTCCCCAGAGTTGACAAAGAAAGCCTTCCCCTGTGCCAGTGCCTTGAATGCATTCAGACTCTTAGGCTCCTGAGCTGTGAGAAAATTAGTCTCTGTTCTTTAAAGTCACCCACTTGTGGAAATCACTAAAAAAGAAAATTATAGACCTTGCTGCTGTAGGTTAATGTGCCGGACTGCAAAGTCATTTCAATCGCAAGGTCGGTGGTTCAAGCTCACCAGTCACTCCTTGGAATCCCTATACAGGGTCGCTCTGGATTGGAATCGACTCGATGGCACATAACAACAACATCTCTCATGAACATAGATGCAAAAATTCTCAACAAAATCCTAGCCAATAGAATTCAAGAAAATATATTAAAAAAATGAGACATCATGACCAAGCAAGATTCACCCCAGGGATGCAAGGATGGATGGTTCAATATACAAAAAAACAAAAACAAAAACAATGTAATTCACCACATAAATTTTTTAAAAAGGACAAAAATCACATGATTATATCAATTGATGTAGAAAAGGCACTTGACAAAATCCAGCACCCACTCCTGATAAAACACTAAACAACGCAGGAATAGAAGGAAAATTCCTCCACATAATTAAGAGCATACATACAAAACCAATAGCCAACAGCACTGTCAACAGGGAGAAACTGAAAGCCTTCCCCTTGTGAACAGCAACCAGACAAGGATGCCCTTTATCA